ATTCTAAAATGATTTATTATTAATGCTATTATTATTATTTTAAATATTATTATTACTATTATTATCATCAATATTATCATTATTATTACTATTATTGTTGTTATTATTATTATTATCAATATAATAATTGTTTTCATTTTAATTATTATTATTATAATACAGGATTTATATAGCGCCAATAGTTTGCACAGCGCTTTACAAAATGGATCATTTAATATATACAGTCCTCCTTTTGCACTGATATTGAAACCTCTGTTGGCTTTTTACCTTCGGCATTCCATTGCTTATAAACTGGAACAAAATATGGAGTATTATTGGCTGCAATGGATTGTAGGATACAGGATATGTATGTATACACTATATACATTGACGATAATTGGTTCTTGCATTGCACCTTAAACATTACCGGTCTTTGCTTGACCTTCTAAATCAATATAAATGCGCCCGCTCGCACCTATGTAATTCTTCCCCCTTGAAAACATTATTCCCCCCCCCATTATTTATTCTCGCGGTCTATGTCTGTAAATCACTATTTCCTCAAGTCACGTGACTGACCACAGCTGGGTCCTAAAGCCTGAATGTTGGTTTCTAGGTCAGCCGTATGGGAGGAGGGAGGTGAAAATGGGAGCGCTGCCTCTTTAACAGCAGGTGTTTTGGGCTTCCCTTAACCCTTTCAGTATCAGTAGAGCAAGGGAGGGGGGGGAATCATCTCACTGCGTGACAACAAAGGGGGGCAGCACATTCCTGGAGCATGATTACCATTCTTTTGTATCCCTTTATGTAAGAACTGTCCCAGATTTAGGCAACACGAACTAGACGGAAAAATCCTGCAATCTGTCCATTGTGTGCTGAAGACACGTCTGTCAGTTCAATTTACCCCCCCAATATATAGCAGTCACAAATGGTTGCTGTGACCTTATGATATCTCAGGCACAAGATGCAAAATATTCCATCATCCATGTACAGAAAAAAAAAAATGATGTCATAAGATTGCGCAAATGTGCTTAGACAGGCGATCCGCCAAACTTAGATCTGCCATGCTTTGCTCTCCTTAAAGGGAGTCGCTCAAGATAGAAATAAGAGAGCTGCCATCGCTGACTTTTTTTTGAAGATGCATTGCCTGGGGTTGTCATCCTGATCCTCGCTTCCTAGCTTAGAGGGTCACTGACCTGGAACAAGTGTATATCTGTTGTTCCTACAGCTGACATGCCCGATGAAGGTGGGTGACTCACTGAGCAAGGAAAGGAAACGTGGACATTAATAAAATCAAGTAGCCAATGGCAGCTGCCATATTCCTTTCCTGATAGGATCCAATGAAAAGATAAAAATCTGCCTGTGTATAGTGCA